ACGGCCTCCTCGAACACGTGTTTGAGGCCGCGCTGCGTCAGCGCCGAGCACTCCATGTACTTCACGGCCTTGATCTTGTGCGCCGTCTTCAGCGCCTGTTCCCTCCGCACCACCGATTGGCCACAACTGGCCAGCGAGGCGATGGTCTCGCGGTCTTCCCTCAAGTCGCTCTTCGTGCCGATCAACACTATCGGGACGTCCGCGCAGTGGTGGCGGATCTCCGGCACCCATTTCACCGTCACGTTCTCCAACTGCAAAGACATTATTGTCAACTCTATCATCGCTTCCAACGCTTCTTACCGAAGACGGAGAGACGACCGAAAAGCAGACCAAAAACACGTCCGTCTGATAGAGTATTGGTTAGTGTCACGTGACAGCAATAATAGGCTCACCTGTGGGTAGGAGAGCGGGCGCAGGCGGTCGTAGTCCTCCTGTCCCGCCGTGTCCCACAACCCGAGCGACACCGCCTGGCCGTCGCACGTGACCAGCGAGGAGTAGTTGTCGAACACTGTGGGCACGTACTCGCCGGGGAACGAATCCGTCTGCGGAACAATGTCTTAGACAACTGTCAACTCTCAGCGTAAATACCGTGAAGGAGATGAGAAGACACGTCTTGCCGACTGTGCCGTCGCCCACAACGACGCACTTCACGGCTCGCGACGCCGACCGCTGCACCGCTTGTTGTCGCGCGTCGTTCATTGTGTCGTCCTTTGCGTCGTCTTTGTTGTCGCCATTGCTCTGTCGCTGTCGCGCACGCACTCACAGTGTGCCGCACGTGCGCAACACGTACTCCAGCTCACGCCCTCTCCCCCTCTCCCACACATGTTCATCTCTCTCTCTATTTCCACACATTCTCTCACATTGCGTAACGTTTTGTGAGTTTTGCATTGAATTTGCAGAAAAAGAGAAAACTTTTCAATCTTTTTATCGTTTTTTGCTTTTTCATAACATTTATTCATTTTTCGCTTAATTTTCAAAAATTTTGTTTATTTTTCGCTTTTGTTATCATTTCTCCAAAAACCACACGAAAAGCAGTTTTCGTTCAAAAACACAATCTTTTCAATCAATTAATTGAAGCGTTATTCAAAGTTAAATCGCGTTATATATTGTTATATCTGTCTAATGTTCGCGACATCTCGAGATTCCCGCCAATCATCGCTTTCAAACCGTTTAAATACTGTTTGCACGCGAGACTAAGCGAACTCCGCATCACCACATCGTACAACGCCAGGAACTCACTCTCAATTGTTGCGTTCATCGCCAGCACGCGTTCCATCGCTTCCCGAACACTCATCTTCTCCCTCAACACGAAGAACGCCACGGAGTTGCAGAGCACGCGCTCATTATCAGCGTTCTGCTCTTCCACCTCCTTCTCATAGCTGTACACGTCATTGATGTAAATGATGGCCAGATTGCACAGCACGCGCATCCTCTTTATTCTATCGTCGTTCCACTCGTCGTCACTGACGTCCACTTCGAGCGCGAACTCCAACAACGCGAAGATCGTGTCGTTCGCCGAACCCGAGAGTCGCAGCTAACGAAGACAGCCAATCAGAGCAGAGCAACGTTGACAGTGCTTACCGTCTGGATGTCTTCCAGCGTCCACTCCTCCCTTCCCTCCGCCTCGAACAGCTGGTTCTCGCGCTGCTGCGCGTCCAGCCATTGGCGCCACGACGACAGAAAGCGCGTTCTCTGCCTTCCATTCATTCCTCCAATTATCTGTCGGGAAAACGCGAAAACACACGAAACATAGGTTTTGCATTCAGTATTGAACTCTTCGTTTGTTTCCAACTTCTGCACACATTCCACGTATTGCGCCAACACCGCCGCCGCCGCCGCGCTGTTCCTCCCGAAGCCCACACCGCACTCGTTGTGGTCGTCCCACACGAACAGATAGCCCGCCCACCGCGCCAACAGCCAGAAGCGCTCCTCCCGCCGACAGTCCGGGAAGAAGAGTTCGGCGAACACGAGCATCGATTGGGCGACGCGGCGCTCGAAGTGGTCACGTGGGAGTTCGCTGCGTTCGCGCCACCAGTCGCTCACTTCGCGCGCCGCAGATAATGACCGCGAGAAGGCGCTCCTCCGCGCCTCGAAAGCCGTCTCGAAGTCCGGGATTCGGAACTTCCGCTCTTTCGCTCTCGCGTTCATCGCAACACTGGTTTGCGACACAAAACGCACTAAACTTTTATACTTTTCATTTCTCGTGACTTTTGTTTGCATTGCAAAACAGTTTTCTGTCATTCGATATCGAAATCCGGATTTCTCCACAACTGAAGGATTTCTCAAACTTTCCACTCAAACATTCAAATGTTTTGCAAAATTCATCACAAAATCTCAAATAACACTCAATTATGACATCGACTGACATCTGAGCTGTGGATCCGCTGAAAGACGTGTATTTACCGCTTTTGCGGACAGTTATCAAAGTTGTAACAGACAGTGTGTCGCCACCTGTCGGCCAAATCACACTACAAATTAATGCCGAATAATTGCGATTAACGGCTCATAGATCGCCACCTGTCGGACAATCGAGTCATTAAAACGGTTCCGAAAACTTTTTAAGACATTTTTATTACAGTTTAATAAACGAAACAATTAAAGACAAAAGCCTTCAGTCGACCCAAACGGCGTCGCCGGAGATGTCGCACATGTTGTTGTGGTTTCTGCGCATCAGAATATAGCCGCCGTCTCCGAAACCGGTTCCCCACTGGTTCTTCACGATCCAGTAGTCTTTGTTTGACGCGCCGTCGTAGCCGTAGCCCACGGCCAGCACCGCGTGGTTGCGTCCGCCCGAACACTCTTCGTCGAACACTCCCTGCCTATACTTCGTCCAGCCGTCAGACACGTGGATGGCCACCGCTGCCGGCCCGTGCTTCTCGATCACGGCCCGCATCGCCTCTTCGTTGCCGTGCGGTGTAATCGGAGTCCACGAAGAGATTCGCGCCACAGTTTGGCTCTCTTTGTTTTTGTCGCAATTCGCGTCCTAAACACACATCACGTGATTATTGCAATTAAAAGACTGTTAAATGGCTTACTTTCGCCAAATAGGGATAGTTTTGCATCGAAGTCAAACCCCTGGCTTTGATGTAATCGAAAGTGGGCACAAAAGTGCCGCCGCCGTGTTCGCAGCCGTGGTTGCCGTGCGCCTCGTCGCGCGCGCAGTCGTTCAGCTGTTGCGGCGACAGCACGACCGCCTCGTGGCCGTGACGCGCCCACGCCGTCTCGATCAGCGCCGCCGCCGCGAAGTACACGCACGCGCCGCACCCGCCCTGCAATTGTACAGTTAGTCACGTGTTAGCTCCTGGTTGTGCACTTGCCTGGTTCTGGACGGGAGTGACCACGTGCGTCGAGCGCCAGTCGTAGATCCACGAGTCTTTGTTGGCCTCGGCTTTGCTTTCGCTGCGGTTGTATTGTTGTCGCGGGAAATGACCGGAAAGTCCGTTCAACAGCTCTTCGGTCGTGAAGTCGGCGAAAACACCGATTTGTTGCGAATAAGAAGACAAACCGGAAATGGATTTCAAATTATGCGAAAACACGGAAAACAGGTTTTGTTTGAAAATCTCTTTTCTTTTCTCCATTTCTTCGTCCGAAGAATACGTTTTCGCGAATCTCGCGACGAATTTCTCGAAACTTTGACTCAAATACTCTTCGTCTTCGATTACTGTCTATTTTGGGATCAATTTTGTGATTATTTCGTTGTTTTTAATCAAACTTTACCTCAAATAAGGCCTTAATTGACGACAAGTCGACATTTTGCGCCGAACTCTTCGGATACAGGAGTTCTCCCTGAAGAAAGTCGCCGAACGGCTCGAACCACTGGCCGACGGGCGCGCAGAGACCACACGTGGCCAACAATGAGCACAGAATCAGGAATTTCATTTTCAAATTGCATTTCGAGACAAAAAGCGTTTCTTTTTATTCAAAACTTTGTGTGAAATTCAAAATCTGTTTTCTTTCTATTGTTTTCGCTTTTTGTGAGAATTTTGACAAAAGTTTCAGTTTTTGATAAGTTTTGCGATAAAAACGCGTTTAAAAGGACTTTAAATGCAATTCATGACTAAATGTTTGATTTATTTCCAAAAAACATTGATTTCTATAACAATTATTATTTCAGTGAAAAAATACTTGAATTTCTGATAACTTTCGATAAAAGCTTTTATTTACACAAAAATAGATAAAAATGTTTAATTATTGCAAAAATTCCAAAAATATTCCTAAATATAAATCAAAACAAAAAGTATTTATATTTCAAAAACAAATATTAAAACTTCGTATAAATTTTCATAAATAAAGGAAAGGCACGTGACTTCACGAGTGTCTGGGCATTTCGCACAGCTCGCAGTAGTTGAGCGCCGGGTGGTTCTCCACCGTACACTTCTGGCACACCCACCGCGGCTGACCGCTGTCGTCCACGACCGCCGCCATCGGGTTCTCTCTGACGGGAAGGCGCGGCGAAGTGGTGTTCGGTCGCGGCGGCAGTTGAGGCGGCAATTGGGACGGACTTTGCGGACTCACACTCTGAGTCCTCACGAACAGATTGTTGGGCGCAATGGTGTTGGACTCCATTGTGGGCGACACCAACCACACGGGTCGCGGCGCGGGCGGCACTCGCGACAAGAGGTCGGGGTTCGGCGCGCAGTTCCCGAATCGCGGCGGCGGGTAATACACGGACTCCTCGTAAGTGGGCGGTTGGGCCGGCGGTTGTTGACGCCCGGCCATCGGCTGCACGGGATATGGGGGTCGCGCCGGACGGCGACTCGTGGACGGCTGCGGCTGCGGGCGCTGACCGTACGGCCCTTGCGGCACATTCTTGTAGAAGTTCTCGTCGGTGACGCCCAAAGGCATTCCTCCGGAGGCGTACAAATCCACTTCCATCGACAGACAGTGGCATTCGATGCGCAGCGCGCGGTTGTCTTCGCGCAGAGCCGTCACTTGCGTCGTCCACTTGTCGGCAGTCGTGCGCCGTCTCTGCGACTCCAAGAGTTGGACGTCTTTGCGAAGAGCCGTCAAGTGGTTGTCCAACTTCTGGGTCTCGTTGCGGATGTGATCCAAACGCGTCATCTGATGCGTCTTCAGGGCTGTCACGGAAGCAGTGGATCAGTTGCGAGCGAAGACAGGAAAGAGACAAACCTTGCACATAACTCAGTTCTTGGGATCGACTCATCAGGTGTTGGTATGTGGAGAGCGGCGCCGAGACATTGCTGTTGTGGTTGATATTGGCGGCCATCTGTGGAGTGGATCCGCTGTGCGGAAGGACACGTGATTTGGGATTAAATGGCAAACAAAACACAAAACACTGATTGCTATCGAAATCCTGATTTGTGTTGCATTTCGTAAGCGTTTGAACAGTAATTACGTCCACTATTTCGGCCACTCTTTTGAGACCCCATTTGTGGCGAATTGTATTGAAATGAATGCAAAACTGTTTTTCAATGAAATATTTGTTTTTCTCTTCAATTGTGAAATGAATTGAGTTTTTTGTGAACTTTTTTGTTCAAAACTTTTGATGTTTTCATTTCAAATGAATTTAAATGTGATTTGAATTGAAGTGAAAATGAGTGAAGTTTTTGCGGATTTATCGCAATTAACGCGAAATGAGTTGTATTTATGTGTAAATGAATTGAAACGAGAAATCAATTGTTTGTCAACAGATTTATCGAGATTTCAATTATTGGCCAAAAAATGTCAACAATTTATACATTATTTACAAAATATAATAATTTATAACAAAATTAAATGTGATTTAAACGGAGATCTGAAACAAGACATCAATTCATTGATTGATTTCAATGCAAACCAGAGTTTTATTGCAATCAATGGTTTGCCAAACAAGAGATCAAACGGTGAGTGAAATGTGTTTTTGAAATACAATTTAATTTGCAATCAATTAATGATTAGTTCTGTCTCTTCGGTCATTGCT